AATTGTTAATCTTAGGGCCCCAGGGTCAGGGGTTCTGGTGTGAGGGGGGGGGGGGGGGCTCTGTTGATTATAGTAAAAATTCAAGAATTCTTTGAAAATTGTCTTCTCTGTTCCTGGGTATAAAGCAGTTAAACTACCTATATATTTATGAACAAGGACCCTAATCTTTCAGAATTGTGAATTTAAAGGCCCCTGGGTCAGGGGTACTACAGAGGGAGGACTGTACTTATAAACTGAAAATGAATTAATTGTTTGAAATCTGCTCCTTGGTATTAATCAAATATTTTTGAAAAGCAAGGATGCCTTTTTTAAAAATTGTGCAATGTGTGGATGTAGGCCATATGGTCAGGGGTTCATGTGTCGTAGAAGCACTACTGATTATAGCTGAATATTACTGATTAGTTGAAATGCATTTTTTGTTCCTCTGCCTCGCCTACGGGTATTAAGTAACCAAACTAAGCAACTTCTAAGTGTATAGTTATGATGATCAATGATGCCTCTTTCAAAATTGTGAATGCCATAGCATCTGGCTTAAATCATGTATCAAATTCAATCACTGGAAAGTTGTTGCATAATGCTCAGGTGACCTATAAGGCCCATGAGCCTCTTGTTTACAAACTTATAGGCTTCCTTTATCAATCTATTTTAAGTGTGAAATTCTCACCTAGAAACGACTAAGAATTGAGGGGAAAATCATACATGTACATCCCCGCGCAAGATCCCCAGCGCCCCACCCCCCAAAAGAAAATTCCAAACAACAAAAAACTGGCGTAAATCTTGAGAAGTTCCTTGTGTTTACTTATATGTATATTTTGTAGTCATTATAACTGGCTATTACATGTTTAGTCAGCCCGCGGGCTGACTAGTTATGATACGAAGAATTTCGAAGATACGAAAGAATTCTGGGGGGTAGTTCTGCAGTAAATCACTCTTTCTAATTTCATTTCAGTAAACATCAGTACACCAAGAAATCCCTATTTGACACCATGGTTATATGTAAATTTAATTTCAACTCAAACAGAAAGCCCTATATACATGTAAACAGTTCCAAACATTTTTTTTTTAAATCTGGCTCGCAGAAATTTGAGGGTTCTCATCGGATCTACGCAGCGAAGCATACAGTTGTATGAATTTATTTAACGAAGTGTTTGACGCGTCAATTGAAGGTCTTTTGTAAAGTATTTTGAAGGCAATTTATTTATGTATTAAAATCTACAAAAATAAGCTTTGGTTTATTACAAATTTTGAAGTTAATCAGTTTTTACTGGTTTTACTTTCGTTTTTTGCTAGCGCTCTCGAGCGCTAGCAACTACGTTAGTCCAAATTCCTTGAATACGCATGCTCGGCCGCCATGGTGGTGCATTCTGGGAAAACTGTGAAAACTACTACAGATAGACCGTACGATAACAATTTCGCTGTATCTTGTTGTAGCATGAAATACTGTTCATTTATTGTGTAGCTTACACTTTAAAGATAACTTCATATTTATAATATTTTAAATTCTGGGGGTTTTTTTGCTGATGGGAAAGCCTGAGTCACTATCTGATTGTTCTAATCAATTAATGTCAAGGGATTTTTTTTAATCTAAGCACAACCAAATATAGATTCTAATTTCTGATTGGTCAGTTCAGCCAATATTACAAATTCCAGAAACAGAAGCAAGATTTTACACTAAAAATAACGAATAAATCCACTCTTTGTGTTTAAAAAAATCTGATGTGTATGGCTTTTAACCTAACATATCTTGACAAAGATGACCCAAAGGACCAAGCTACTTCACATGCGTTCCAAATTCTCTGGACTCTTTACACAACATACACTAAATGAGTTATTTTCTATATTCCTTTCAACTCCCTTGAATTTTATTTGCTAAATTGCCAAGATTTAAATTCTCTTCTTTAAATCAGCTCAACATGCAATGTCTCAATCGCCTTCTTATTCATATTATATAGAGCCCCCTCCCCTCTGCAGTAAAGGTCATATGTGTTCCGTTGCACCAAAACTCCAATAGGTCAACCCCCCCTTGTTTCTTTACCTATGTGTCTATAAAATACGCTTCACAAAATAATAATAACTTTATCACTCTCCAGCCTCGATAAAAAATTAAAGAATTCGGCAAAATAAATCACTTGATCACGGATCTTCCTTTCTGTGTTTAAAAATTGCTACGGCGCTAGCTCACCTATCTTTTTAAAAGATAAACTTGTATTAAATCATGTCGATCCCGATGCAAATTAGCGAACTGATTTGTTAATGCATACAATGGATACCTCGGAAAGAGACACAACTGACTGAACTTGCTCGTTTATTGTCCCCCGCTGAAAGTGGAAGAATGGATATTAACTTCGGTCTGTCTCTCATTTCATTCGTCTGTCTGTAGTTCTTTCTGTCGCAACATTTTCATTTCCCTGCAATATGTCTAGAAGCCTTTGAGATTTTGCAGTGAAATTTTACACAACTCACTATGGCCTTTGGACGACTCCTATTGATTTTGAGGTCAAAATGTCAAGGTTATAATTTCAAAATTCTATCTGATTAAAAACTTTGTTTTCGCGCAATACGCAGCTAGGATAAGGCTGTCCGTAAAATATCAAACTGTTCAGACTGTAGTAACTTCTCTGAACTACCTAGATATGACGTCATAATAGAATATGACGTCAAGTCACTGCATACTTGAGCTGATATGACGGGGAAAGTGTCATAATTTGTACATGGCATGTAGATTTATTTCGGACCTTGTTGTTTAATTTAAGTGTTATGATTGTTTTTAAGCTCCGATGTGTTATTATGAAGTTGAACATTTGAAATTTAGATATTCTTATTTGATATGCACATAATTAAACAATACAGGAAAACTATGTGTGAAACGCTCCCCTAACACGTCCGTAGACAGAGTTAGAATTTAAGAATCGTGTTTATATTGGACTGGCACAAGTGAAAGACAAGGATAAATTGAAGATATTCTGCGTGAATCTACAAGAGAAGTATGTCCTCTAACTGAATTTTGCTGGGGGATTGTGTGTAGTTTATCCATTTTTGTATAAATTTCGATAAGGCGTGGAAAATACCCCCTCTTATGTTTCTCGTAAAATATTTTCTTAACGAGTAAAAATTAAATCTGTCCCCAGAACTTTCTACGTAACAAACTTTGCACAATATTTTTGTTTTGCACTTGTGCCGAAGCGATTTATGTGCAACATTTAGGAATGTCATAAATCTCCGTCACGTGATCAACACAGTCATGTGACATCACAAAAATACTTTATTTTAATACCTGATTAAACTATCATCTCAAGTTGACTGCAATTTCAAACAAGGGTTACATATTGAAATTAATATCTAGCTCAAAATAAAATGTATATTTTTAAGGCATTTCAGGCCTTCGGACAGCCTTATCATTACTGCGTATTTCGATAAGCCTTTCAGCTTTTGTAAACAAAATTTTATACAACAACTACCTATGGCGAAAGAAAGACCCCTATTTCTTTTTTTTTTTGTTACTGTGTGTAAAACTTTCATTTCCAGTCAAAATCTAATTTAAATCTAAATCAGATTTAGAAATCTATAATTTTGTTAAGTTATAGTTAGAAATCTGATAAATGAATTTGTATGTCTAACTTTTTAAAATTTTGTCTCAATACTACTTTTTCCGAATTTCAAGTAAAAATTCAGCTAGCTACGTCAAATTAGGATGATTAACAAACTAAGTATAAAAAAAATACCTAAATATTATGCAAAAATTAAGCGTAACAAAGCTTACATGTAATATTCATATAGGACCTGTTTGCATGAAATTTCTCTATTCTAAAAGTACTAGAAAATGTACTGGGTCCTTTACCAATATTCTCAATTAAGCTAAACTTGTTTCAATCTATCGATAAAATGCCGCGCCTATTCCGAATATTAATGTGACTCAATTAAAACCCGACTCGGACAAGCGAAACATTCCGGAATTGACATCCACTACAGGGCTTTTTTAAATACCTTAAATAAAACTAAGGCGCTGTTTTCAATGAAAATTTTTGCAAATGAAATACCACACTGATAATAATATATCTGTTAGGTGTAAAATTATCAAGATTTGAATTAATTAGATAAGGTTAGGGGGGTCCAAAAAAGGGGCCACAGCACTATGCTTAAGCGGAAACTTTCTTTCGGTCTGTCTGTCTGTCTCTATTTCATTTTTATGTAACACTTTCGTTTCCATGCGATATCACGAAAAGCCTTTGAGCTTTCCCAGTGAAATTTTATGCCATGACTCTCTGTGGTTTATGAAAAAAAACTATTCATTGTGAGAAAGATCAAAGGTGAATATCATAATTTCTTAACATTCTCCGTGTAAACCGATACCTAAATAAGCTTTTGAGTTCTTGCAATGAAATTTTGTGCCAGAACTCCCTAAGGCACTGCCCGCCCCTCTTCAAGTGTCCCCTTCGAACTCCCTCCCGGATCAGCGCATTCTTTTCTTTTTTCCTTAAGTAAGGTGCACATTTTCTCAGTATTAGCTTGATCATTAATATATAATGATCATAAATAAATAATGGGGAACTTGAAAAAAGTTCCATTCCGGAAAAAGATCTGTAATTAGAGTTAGAAATTGGAAATGTAAAAAACATTAACTTACAAAAGCCTTATACCCTAGAAGTATTTCATATCTATAATAATTAAGAAGGTTTTAGAAATTAATTTTCAAGCTTCTTTGTTAATTAAGCTACATTTTTTCATTGCTAACTCCGTTAAAAGTGCGCAAAATTCTCATCTTTCTATCACTGAATTGTTCTTTTTTGAGATCAGAGTAGTATTTCACCGAAATCCCACTTTGCATTATTTGAATTTCAGCTCTCTGGATCGCCTTCGATATTGGTTACAATAACGTTTATTGTGTTCAGTGTTTTAACAAATAATGTTTTAAATAATATGTTTAGAAAATACTGTGATAAGAGTATCTGATAAGTTTTTTAGAATTAATTCTAATGTAGGCTGTTTACATTTATACATACCCTTAACATTTTTTGGGATTACACTCTGACTCTGCAGTTCTCTGATTTCATCTGAAAAAAGTCAGGATATTTATATATTTGTCATTGTATTGAAATAGTCTAATTAATTTAAAAAGACTCCCTCATAAACAATTGAAAGATTTGAAATATTTAAAACTACGAGTTATATATACTGATTCTCAGTAGAAGAAAATAAATCTTTGAGATATCAAGAAATACCAATATATTAAATTTGCATATAAGAAAAGTTAAACCTTTGCTAGTTAAACCTTTGCTATGTTGCCATACGGGGGGCATTAGTGTTTCAAAAACACATCTTGTTAAAATTGTATTTAATTGATTTACTTAAAACAATAATTTATTTACTGAATCAAGGAGAATTCATAATAGTTCCAATACAAATAATTACTTAAAAAGGTAGTCTAATTACTATCAGGATTGAATTCTTAGATTGTCATATTGTCTGTGAGGAGGAGTTATCTTTCTTCTAAATATTCCTTCATGTAAAAAAAGTTATACAAATTAAAATGCTGTGTTAAGTACTTGAAACTTTAAACCATTTTTAAAACGGTCCTTAAAAATATACAAATATTTAATTTAGAAGGCTTTTGATGTTTGAACTAAATGTTTTAGTGCTAAATATAATAAAACAATTAAAAAGAAATAATGTCGATTTTAGTAAATATGATAAGTATTTCATTTAGTAAGTATTCTCCTAAGTAATAATATTCTAGATTTTAAGTAATTTTAGAATTACATTTACATAGTAATAATTTATCAAACCTAGTAAATAGAAAGCAAATTATCTCTTAATTAAGTAATAATGATTTACTAAAAATGAGTAGTTCATTTACTAAGTAATATAATTCCTATTATGTATTGATACTTAGTAAATTATTTTATTAGTAAATGAATCAATCCTTATAACTTATTATGTTTACAATTACTAACAATGGTAGTCATTTACTTGGTATTCTGACTAAATGGATTACTAATAATTACTAGTTTTTCTTAATCATACATCTTATTTTAAAAGCAACAAGTAAAACTTTTTTTAGAGTGAATACTGTATATTCTATTGTACAGAAACATTTTTTTTTAAACATTTTAAAACTATTTTTTAGTTTTATTGATCACAAGGGTTTAAATTACATACAGATTAATCATGAAAACATTTTACAAGCAAAATAAAATTCCCAAAAATGCAGCTCATATTGCTTTAAACAGTTTTATACAACTCATAGATAACTTCAAGATAAGAGTTTTATCTCTTTACACGATACATTATATTGTAAAATATATCAAACAAACCTGAATGCTTTTTAATAGTATGGTAGACTTCATCAAGAAGCAAAAGTTTATCAATGTATTTTTTCTCTATTTCTGGATCCATAGAACTTGATTTAATATCGTTGACAGCATCTTGGTAAAGAGTAGAAAGCCCAAAGTGTCCTTCTAATTCCAAAGTAATATCGTAAATACTTTGCCATTCCTGCTTAAAATCTGAATCCGAGAGAGAGAAATCTGATGCGTGTCCATAGTACTTGTTTCTCGTCAGCCTTATCCTCTCTATATTGGCAGATACACTTCTGTCTACTGAATCAGGAATTTCCCCCCATCCTTTAACGTGAGGAGGTATATTACACACATTACGTAGAAGAATATACAGCAAACTAACATCAAAGTCAGTATAATCCCTAGCATATTGTTTGGTTGGCAGAGGAAAGATGAGATCAGCCTGTTGTCTATTTAGATGATTTTTCATTTTTTTATTTTTTGGATCATTGATCCACTTTCTAACTTTATTTGATAAGTTAGAAGGTGTGATGTGTCTCCTAAGAATATCACGCAGCAGGTCTTGAAGAGGACCGAGGATTAATCTTGCTACTCGTGCAAGATTTGTGGTTTCTGGAGTAGATTTGTATTTTGATGATGAAGTTTTAATGCTGAATTTTTTTATTGTTGGAAATAACTGCAAAATAAAACAGGACGTGTTTGTGAAACACTGATGCCCCGGTACGGCAACATACAAAAGATTAAATTTTTCTTAAATGTAAATTTAATATATTAGTACCAAAATTAGGGTATTCACACTGAAAATACAATTATGAAATATGAAAGAAGGCCAAGTTAAAGGTTTTCATAAGTACGAAATTCTCCAAGGTCAAAAAGTCATGGTAATCAAATTAAGGGTCTTGCCAAGAAGAATACATTTGTAAAGTATTGAAGCCCTGGCCCCAACCGTTCAGATGTTATGGTCAAGGTTAAATATTTTGAAAAGCAGGTCAAACTCCAAGCTCAATGTCAAAGGGTCAAAGTCCCTAACCCGGTCAAAGTTCTTGCTATCAAATGAAAGGTCTAGTCACAAGGATTAAATATGTAAAGTATGACGCACTAGCCCTAACCCTTTAAAAGTAATGGTCAGTTTTTGCTTTTTAAAAGTATGTCAACTCCAAGGTCAAAGTGTCAAAGTTCATTCTATCCAATGAAGGATCTTCTCACAAGGATCATATAGGTGAGGTATGAAAGCCTTATCTTTACCTTTAAAAAGTTATGCCCAAGGTTTTTTTATGAGTATGGAAATCTCCAAGGTCAAGGTCAACAGGTCATATTTGTTGGTATTTAATGAATGGTCTTGCCACAAACAATACAAATGTGAAGTATTAATGTCCTGGTTTTACTGTTCAAAAGATATGGCCAAAGTAAAAGTTTGGAATTTTTGTGTAAAATTTGGTCAAACGCCAAGGTCAACGTCGAAGGTCAAATTTGGTGGTACCCAAATAAAGATCTTGTCACACGAAATCCGATTGAGAAGTATTTTTAAAAAGGGTGTTTTAATGTTTTGTTACCAAAACAAAATCCAATTTTACCCCAATCCGTGTTCAACTGAACTATTTATTTCTTCTAGAAGGTTTAATTATGTTTTTAAGTCTGTTGGAATGAAAAGTGGCACTATATGCATATGGAAAAGCATTGGGTTTTTTTTTTTAAATTCATAAGACAAATTATATTTTATATAATTTCTTTCTAAGGAAACCCACTGCTTTTACATTTGCACATCGTGTTGAATTGAATTAATACCACAACTAATTATTATAAAATGTTACAGCGATATTTATTTAAAAAAAAAACAAGTTTGGTTGTACCGGTATGTGGTAAGTCATTTTTCACCTTGGGTCCACCCGTGTATTAATCAATGATTGCCAATGCATTTCATTTAATTTGAGAGTTTTTAACTAATGAACCATTCAAAGTAGTATAAGCAACCTAGCCGGGGGGGTCAACTGAGTGCACTTTTGGCCCTGGGGGGGAATAGGGTGGTCAACTGAGTGCACTTTTAGCCTTAGGGAGAATAGGGTGGTCAACTGAGTGCACTTTTTAGCCCTGGGGGGATAGGTGAGTCAACGGAGTGTAGTTTTAGGGCTGAGATCTGGAAAAACACATTTTGTGAGATCTCAGGCTTGGAAAACCCGATTTGAGATAGGAGATCTCAATCCCTTCAGCGGAGGCCTGAAATTTGGAAAAACCCAAGACTATGAATACACAGACTTGGCAGCGATTCAAGATCGTCGAGCTGCCTATTGTGACGTCATCTTACTCATTCACAGTCTCGCTGACTGCTCAATTTTGACACTTTTAAACACAGCTGATCGCCAGCTGATTGAAAGAAAAACAAAAGGTTAAAATTTAAACTTTTATTCAAGTAAGATACAAAATCAATTCTTCTTCTGTAGTTTCAGGGACTTCTTGAGCTCGTCCTTGTGTTTTCTTGAGAGTGATTTCTTTCCTATTTCCACAGGAAATATTTCCCACACCAATATTACAGCCACAATTCTCCAAAGAAGGGGGGTATTCTACCACCCAGTCAGGTATGGGACTTTCACATTCACTGCACCCCCAATAAGATTGGACAGCTTCTCCGGCACAGTTAAAGATATTCTCCTTATTTCTTTTACCTCCCTTTCACAATGTTGACATATTTTCTTTTCTACATTAAGCCAATACAATATTCTCCAACTAAAATTCATGATTAATAAAATGAGCCTGGAAGCTTTCAGATGAAGTGTGGTGAAATTTTTACAAAAATCGCAGTTTTAAATACCTTTAGATCCCACTATGTATAGTCGCTTTAGAAAAACTGGCACACATGTGAATCTCAGGCCTGAAATCTGGAAAAACCCAAGACTATGAATATACAGACTTGGTTGAGATCTCAGGCTTGAAATCTGGAACCAATTTGAGACCTCAGGCCGTTTAGGTCTGAAATCTGGGAAAACCCAAGACTATGAATACACAGACTTGGTAGCGATGCGAATCACAGCTACCTATGCATTATGACGTCATACAATGTATAAATATGACATGTTTCTGGCTTGAAACTCATTCTGTTGTCAGATCAATCAGCTGATTACATGGATTCCGCTAAGAAGAAATTACTACATGCACAACAACTGTTGAGACGGAGAAGACGAACAAAAGAGTTAGAACAAATTATCTATAACAGACACAGAGAATTGGCTCTCAGAAAAAAAAATGCAAGACTGTTGGAAAGAATGCAGAGAGCCCAAGTTAATCAAGAACAACAAAGGACTAGGGCGCATGTGAGACCAAACTCACCTCCTCAATCATCTCGGAAATCCAAGGCCATATCCCAGTATAATCAAGTGCAGAGAGCCCAAGCGAATCAAGAACAACAAAGGACTAGGGCGCATGAGGGACCAAACTCACCTTCTCATCCATCCCCGAAACCCAAAGCCATATCCCAGTATTATCGAGTCAGACTGAATGATACTATGCACTCTAAAAAAATTAAAGCTCAAGAGGATTTTTACACTGTAAATTTTAAGGAGTTTCTACAGAAAGAAAACAGAGGATTTGTTCGGCGATTATTTAGAGACGTGCTGCAAACTGTCAAATCTAAAATGCAGTGTAATCCTAACGATTACCTACGCCTGAACATACGCCACGATTCTGTGGATTCAGACATTTTGTTTGAGTTTACCCAGTGTAAACATTTAAATCAGGACCTCATTCTAGACAAAATAGAAGCCGTGCAACAATCCAAAAAGGAGTTCAAACTTGGGGACGGGGGCTGAAATTTGACATGTTTCGGGTCAAATATCCTGAAGGGAGTGGTGGAGACAGAACCAAGCACCTAATGGTCAATAAGGACACTTTTAAGAAGAGGAAACAATCTATCCTTCAGATCGACAATCCCTGGGATAAGTTTTGTTTAGCAAGAGCGATCGTCGTCACCCGCCTACACAGTCAGAAACCAGAACATCCCGATCCCGAATGGGAAAAACAAAGGTTGCGTATGAGGAAAGGAGATAAATACTTAGACAAGAAACGAGAAGCACTAACCCTCATGGAACAAGCCGGCTGTGATATCAATCAGTCTTGTGGACCCGCAGAATGGGGGAAATTACAACAAGTGTTAGCCCCTCGCTATCGACTGAAGATATTTCAGTTCAAGGCCACCTCTTCTAGACTCATCTTAGAGCCCATTTCTAGTGCCTGAAACCTACAGTCATCATGAACGGCAGTAAGATCTTATGCATGCAAATCTGTGGACTGAAATTCATCAACTCCTATAATTTTTACCCTTTGCTTTGGCCAAGATGCCCTCTGCTTTCGGATTCACAGAACTGAAGAAAGGATATTTCCCTCACATGTTTAATACGGAACAGAACCAGAATTACGTGGGGCCTTATCCATCGGCAGCTTTCTTCAATCCGGATGACGATGAAGACGATGAGAAATTAGTGGCCAATTTAAATCTTCCTCACTTACTCATTTTTGACGACATGATGGGAGGAAAAGCCATCGAATCCATTGTGGATTGGTTTACCCGTAAAGCCCATCATCGGAATACCAGTGTGATTTACATCACTCAGAATTTATTTGATCGGGCAGCCTCCCATCGCACTATTAGTTTGAATGCTCATTATTTAGTCCTGTTTAAAAATCCCAGAGATAAATCTCAGATCAGTGTCTTGAGTAGTCAGCTAGCCCTGCCTTATTTAATGTCAGCTTATCAAGAGGCTACTAGTCGTCCTCATGAATATTTACTGGTCGACTTGAGTCCTCAGACCCCAGACGAATACAGATTGAAAAGTCGAATGTTTGAAATGTTGACTGTACACATGCCTCAAGAGTATAAATAAAAGTGTATCACTCTCATTTTAGTCATTTATCATTGAACAATCATCATGGCTCCATCTGCCAAGAGTAAATTAGTGAGAACCTTACGACGTTAACAGCGGGAACGGGACCCCGCTAAGCGAACTCATTTAATCGAAATAGGGCGTAAAGCCTTATTGAATTGGTTTGCCATGGGGGCTTGAAATTTAATGAAGTGTGTACTACCTTTTAATAAACAGACTCAAAATTTTATCAATAATCATCACAGGATGAAAAGCCAGGTTTCCCAAATTTGGAAACCCGATGGAAACATATGGGAATCGTGACATCAGTAGTTTCCATATAGTTTCCATTTTATGGAAACCACATAGTGGTTTCCACATAGATTCCCGACATGGAAACAATCAACCTGTGGTTTCCCGTAAGTTTCCCAAGATAGGAAACCATGGAAACATACCCCGGTGGTTTCCACATAGATTCCCGACATGGAAACAATCAACCTGTGGTTTCCCGTAAGTTTCCCAAGACAGGAAACCATGGAAACATGCCCCGGTGGTTTCCATGTAGATTCCCGATATGGAAACAACCAACCTGTGGTTTCCCGTAAGTTTCCCAAGATAGGAAACCATGTTAATATGCCTCAGTGGTTTCCATACAGATTCCCGAAATGGAAGCCACCAATGTGTAGTTTTCCCCATGTTTCCCAGGCAGGGAAACTTTGAAAGTATATCTCAATACTAACCACCTACCTTTTATTTTACAAAAAGTCAAATATTTAATTATGTTACCATATTTTTACCAATTATAGAAATATTTAGTTTAAAC